CAGTATGTAGATACCTCAAAGAACTAGGACTGGAAGTCCCATTTGACCCCACTATTCCACTGCTGGGGATCTTCCCCAAAGAATTAAAGAATCATACCACAGTGATATATGTGTGTCCATGTTCATAGCAGCACAGTTTGTGATAGCTAAAACTCGGAAACAGCCCAAATGCCCATCAACTGAAGACTGGATTAAGAAAATGTGGGGTTTTTTATAAAATGGAGTACTACTCAGCCATAAAAAATGAGAAATTTCATGATGTCATTTGGTGGTGGCTTGGAGTGTGGGTTGGAAGCTGCTTCTTAAGCTTTTTGAGACCAAGCATAGAAGGACAGTGAGGACAGCAGGACCCACTCGCACCTATGCCGTCAACTGTGACTCCCTCCTGTGCACCCTCCCATACAGAATTGTCCACTGAGCATTTTGGGGAGGCCTCGGCATCAGCCCTCTATCCCACATCTGCTTGCGTCGCTTTGAGCCTTGTGTGTATTTTACAAAGCTGAAACTTTGAGGGTCTACGCTCCCCAAGACTGGAGTTAGGGGTTCGCTGAGGCCTCCTTAACGGCTCTGGTCACCCCCCATCACAGCCTTGCTCCTCCCACTGCATCCCATGGCGGCACCTGCGCTGGCATTGGTGTCATTTGAAGATGTGGCTGTGACATTCACTGGGGAGGAATGGTGGCATCTGGACCTGACCCAGAGGACTCTGTACCAGGAAGTGATGCTGGAGAACTGTGAGCTCCTGGTCTCACTGGGGTGTCCTGTTCCCAAAGCAGAGCTGATGTATCCACTGGAGTATGGACAGGGACTATGGATGGTGAAGAGAGGCCTCTTACAACACACCTGTACAGGTGAGAAAGCAAAACTTGATCAGAGCCTTCTGATTCTCAGATAGTCTTTTCCAAGGAATCCTCTTATCAAGAACAACTAATACAGAGATCCTCAAAGGATTCCAGCTTGGGGCAAGCCACACATGAGGAAAGGCTATTAGAAATGCAGGAAGGCAACTTGAGGCCAGGAACAGACCTCTCTAAGGAGACATGTTCTGGAAAGCAGAGCCATAAACATGATGATTTGAAGACAGGTGATAATCTGTGTTTAAGAGTTTTACAGGAGCAAGTCATTGCACAAGATGCTATCCATGAACATGGCTCTGAAAAGCCAGGAAAAGACCATGTAATTGATCCAAGGAACAAGCCCTATAAATGCAAAGAATGTGGAAAAGCCTTTGGCAAGGATTTGGCCCTTACTCAGCATCAACAGATTCATACTGCTGTGAAGCCCTATGAATGTAATGGTGTGAGAAGGCCTTCAAACGCAGATCTCACCTCACAGAGCACCAGCATATACACAGTACAGAAAAACCATTTTTGTGCAAAGAATGTGGGAAAGCTTTTTACTACAGCTCTTCTATTGCCCAACACATGAGAATCCACACTGGAAAGAAACTATATGAGTGCACTGATTGTGGAAAGGCCTTTACTCACCGCTCTACATTTATCCACCATAACATGACTCACACAGGAGAAAAACCCTTTATATGCAAAGAATGTGGGAAAGCTTTTTGTCGCAACTCCTCCTTCACTCAACACATGAGGATTCACACTGGTGAAAAGCCTTATGAATGCAGTGAATGTGCAAGGGCCTTTGCTCATTGCTCTACTTTCATCAGGCATAAGAGAACTCATAAAGGAGAGAAACCCTTTGAGTGCAAAGAGTGTGGGAAGGCCTTTTGTGACAGTTCTTCCTTAATTCAGCATATGAGGAGTCACACTGGTGAGAAGCCCTATGAATGCAATGAATGTGGAAAGGCCTTTACACAGCACTTTGCCTTTATCGGACATAAGAGGAGCCACACTGGAGTAAAACCCTTAAAGTGTAAAGAATGTCCAAAATCCTTTTCCTATAGCTCTTCCTTCATTTGACACATGAGGAGTAACACTGGAGAGAAACCCTATGTTTGCAAAGAATGTGGAAAGGCCTTTACACAACCTGGAAATTTCATTCGGCATTATAGAATCCATACTGGAGAAAAACCCTTTGAGTGCAAAGAATGTGGAAAGGCCTTTTGTGACAACTTTGCCTTAACTCAGCACATGAGAACTCACACTGGTGAGACACCCTTTGAATGCAGTGAATGTGGAAAGACCTTTAGGCACAGTTCATCCTTCACTCTTCATCAAAAGATTTATAGAGTTTAAAAGCTATAGGAAGGTTGGCCAGGTGTGGTGGTACACACCTGTAATGTCAGTACTCAGGGGGCTGAGGCAAGAGGATCACTACAAGTTTGAGGCCAGCCTGGGCTCCACAGTGAGTTCAATGTCAGCCTGTACTATAGAGCAAGACCCTGTCTCAAAGGGGCCGGGGATTTAACTCAGTGGTGCTGATGCCTGCCTTGCAAGCACAAGGTCCTGAGTTCAATCCCCAGTACCAATAAATAAATAAATAAAAGCTATAGGGAGGCCTTTTACAACAGTGTTCTCAGTCAATTTGAGTAAACACATAGGTGAAGTTTCTTTTTTTTTTTTAACCCCAGGCAGGGCTTTATTGGGGAAGGAGCTGCCAGGCTGCCTCAAACAATGGCAAGAGAGGGCGAGACTAACTGGGGATGAGGTTTGTTTTGATAGGGAAAAAGTTTGAGACAGCTTAGTAGATTAACTATTAAAGTAGTTGTAGAAGCAAAATAGTGTATCCCTTTACAAAATAAAACTTACCTTAGGGGCGGGGCAGGCACAGGGCCCGCAGGGGGTTGGAGTGGAGGGGAAGGTGCAGATGATGAACAAGCTCTACACTGGGGACCTGAGCCCTGATGTCACTGCCAACCTCTGGCAGCTCTTCGGAGACAGAAGCTGCCCCTGGCAGGACAGGTCCTCCTCAAGTCTGTCTACACCTTCATGGACTACCCCAACCAAAACTGGGCCATCCATGCCATTGAGACCCTCTCTAGTAAAGTGAAATTGCATGGGAAAATCACGGAAGTTGATTATTTGGTCTCTGAAAATCTAAGGAGCAGGAAAATTCAGATTCAAAACATCCCTCCTCACCTACAGTGGGAAGTATTGGATGGACTTTTGGCTCAGTATGGGACAGTGGAGAATGTGGAACGAGTCAACACAGATACAGAAACTGTTGTTATCAATGTCACTTATGCAACAAGAGAAGAAGCAAAAATAGCCATGGAGAAGCTAAGTGAGCATCAGTTTGAAAACTACTTCAAGATTTCCTACATCCCCAATGAAGAGACGAGCTCCCCTTCACCCCCCTCCCAGGGAGCCCAGTGTGGGGACCACTCTTTCCGGGAGCAAGGCCACCCCCCTGGGGGCTCTTCTCAGGCCAGGCAGATTGATTTCCTGCTGCAGATCCTGGTCCCCACCCAGTTTGTTGGTGGCATCATCAGAAAGGAGAGCTTGACCATAAAGAACATCACTAAGAAGACCCAGTCCCAGATAGACATCCACAGGAAGGAGAACTCTGGGGCTGCAGAGAAGCCTGTCACCATCCATGCCACCCCAGAGGGGATGTCTGAAGCCTGCGGCATGATCCTTGAAATCATGCAGAAAAAGGCCGATGAGACCAAACTAGCTAAAGAGATTCCTCTGAAAATCTTGGCCCACAATGGCTCGGTTGGAAGACTGATTGGCAAAGAAGGCAGAAATTTGAAGAAAATTGAACATGAGACAGGGACCAAGATAACAATCTCATCTTTGCAGGATTTGGGTATATACAACCCTGAGCAAACTGTCACTGTGAAGGGCACAGTGGAAGCCTGTGTCAGTGCTGAGGTAGAGATTAAGAAGAAGCTATGTGAGGCCTTTGAAAATGACATGCTGGCCGTTAATCAACAAGCCAATCTGATACTGGGGTTGAACCTCAGCACACTTGTCATCTTTTCAACAGGACTGTCCATGCTGCCTCCACCAGCAGGGCCCCAAGGGGTTCTCCCCGCTGCCCCCTACCACCCCTTCACTACATACTCCAGATACTTGGCCAGCCTGTACCTGCACCACCATTTGGGCCCATTCCCACATCATCACTCACACCCAGAGCAGGAGATCGTGAATCTCTTCATCCTGACCCAGGCTGTGGGTGCCATCATAGGGAAGAAGGGCACACATCAAACAGCTGGCTCAGTTTGCTGGGGCCTCCATCAAGCTGACAGCTGAATTAGAAAACCTGTGAGCAGCTACCCAGCCAGGACCTCTTTGGACTGTTTGGCCCCTTTTCTCAAGATCCAGCAAAGACAAGTTGGGGTTGTTGGGGGAGCTCCAGGGGTGCCAGCCTTAAGTGCTTTAGTTAGTTTGTGCCTGAGCAGCCACTAAACTATGAGGAAATGATTTGAATGCAAAACTCTTGAGAAGCGATGATAAAATCATGGGTAAACAAAAGCTAGTGGCCAGGAAGAAGTCCTGGGTGTGCAGGTTGCATCCTGCCCACTCCAGAGCTGTGTGTGTGCCCTCAGTGCAGGGTGCCACGGCTTGGCCCAATAGGACTCTGGCAGCATGCTGAGCACTGCCCAGCCTCAGGAAACACTTTCGGAAACAGAGTTTCCATTGTTTCTGAAAATAATTTGCTACCGTGAGACAACCCAGAATTCTGAACAAGAAGTCTCATGACTTGGAGAGAAAGAATCCTTCTACTCTCTGGCTGAGAAGAGCTGGAATTTCTCCCACAGCAAGTGTGCTGGAGAAGTGGGGGGGGAACCATTCTGAGTTGTACAGAATCAGGATTGCAGTGAGGCAGTGAAGGAATGTTGTCCTGGGAAATTATTTCCCTCTCAGGGCTCACTTATCTCCCCCCCTCCCCCGAGTTACAGCCCAGAGGAGAGCCTGAAGTATGGAAGACATTTTGGGGTGCCCAGGGGCTCTGTACCTGGTGGGCTGCAGGTGGGACCCTGGCTGAGGCACTGACAGGCAGTTGCCCGTCGGTCCCCTCTGTGGGACAGCAAATGTGAGGACACAGCCAGCACCACCAGGGCCTTGTGCATTCAGCACTGCAGTCTGAGGCACTGGAAGGGCAAGGTGGTTGCAGCTGCAGGGATCTGAGGGGTAACCTCATCAACTCCCCCTCTGCTCAGCCAAGAAGCTGGACACAGCATAAGGACAAGGTTGGGACACTGAGGAGCAGCACTGCTTCTGTATATAAAATTCACCAAAACAGTGAGCACCTCCTGGGGCCAGTGCAGCCCTGATGCCACCAACCGTAGACTGTAGCTGTGAATGGGGCCCAGGGTCCTGTTGCCTCATCCAACACCCCGAGCTGAAGGGTGTAGGGGCCAGGATTTGCCCATGTTCTTCACTTTCCAGAAACACCAGCCCAGGGTTTCTCCACCACGGCACCCTGCTGCTCTCAGAGTCGCTCCCATCAAGGCCTTTCAGAAGATAGAGTGAGAGAAAGCAGTGTCCTGGGCATCACCCATAGTGTGTCACACTCCAGTGTGCCGCTGGGGTCGGTAGGTGACACCACTGTGCTCAGTGACAGCTGATGGAGATGGTGGGGCCAAGCCCATTGGCATGGGTGACAGTACTTTATGCTGGGCCTACACCCTTCCCCATCTGTGCCTTGCTGTGCAGCATTGAAAAGGAGGGAAGAAAACTGGGAAATCCTAAGTATTTGTGAAATAAATATACTACTTCTGAGAAAAATAAAACTTGCCTTAGCCCATTGCTCTGGTTGTTTAAAGCGATGGATATATGACTCAATCTGTAGCCTTCCTACAGATAACATCTTAACTCTGAAGTACAAAGTTGCAATGCTTGGGCAAACTTGTGATATATCTACTTTAACTGTCATGTGTTTAGGACTGTAATCAGTAACAGAAACCACCTGTGTCTAACCATTAAATAGGAATTGGAATTTTATTTACTTAACAAAGACCACTAGGGATGAGATAATGACTAACAAAGGTATAAAAGAGGAGACTAACAAAAAGCAGGACATGGACACTGACCAGACCAGTTTCTGGCAGTCCTGCCTGCTTGCAAGTAAACTTTTATTATTTTTCCCGAAAAAAGAAAAAAATGAGAAATTTGAGACATTTATAGCTAAGTGGATCCACATTGAGGCAATATTCTTAAGTGAAATAAACAGGACACACATAAATAAATACTGAATAGTTTCTCTGGTGTGAGAAACTGAAAGTGTAAATAGGGACTAAAATGTATAATAGGTAATGTGAAATAGGAAGAAAAGGGGCAAAGGGGAAGAAAGTGGGAGGGCTAGGGGAAAGGATAGCAGGGAATGGGATTAATATGAGAAAATGGAAAAATAGGAACAAAATCTTTGTAAATAGGGAGGAATGGAGGGGTT